GGGGGGGGGGGGGCAGCAAGGCAAAAGCAGGACGCTCAAATTGCTTCCACGGTTATGAGTAGTATACTAGTATGTCATCAAATTGCTTCGATCGCAACTCCCCCACGACAAAGAACGTACAATTTGCCTGTGGTTTGTTCCTTATCAAATTGCTACCATCGATTTTTCTCATTCTTCTTTAAACCTTACTGCAGTCAAATTGTTTGCAACTGATAGCAACCCGCATTTTCGGAATCCGCTAATTCTAGTGTGCACACGGTCATTGTCGTTCTCTGACCACAATTGGAGAAAAAGGTAGAGATTGCAGACAAGCTTGAAAAACCATAAACGACACAATCGCCGTGGGAGCCACCACTCAGATATCCAAAGGATTCTGCACGACCGAATGAAGCCCAAAGAAATCATTTTCTCTGTTTGGTAATGCGTGGAAAGTGTAAGTCATCACAAACCCACTGAGGAGATAAAAGCATAATCTGAATCATGATCGCAAAATTAAAGTGTTCAGCAGGAAGAAGGAAGTTATTCATGTACCTTAAGTGACTGTCTTCTTACAACATAATTCTCCGAAGACAGCAGTTTGTCGTATAAATCAAAAAACTGGACAGCAACAACAAACACACTCTACAGGTAAGTATGAAGGACACATCCAAGCGTAAAGAGTACGTCAACGTTCATGAAACACAGGGAGAGAACACAATTACAATGACCGCATAAGATGAAAACATCGAGCAAATACTGGTGTTGACGGTCCGTTTTCCAAAAAATAGGAACAGGAAAAACAGGTACAGAGCAAACACAATAATCTAGAGAATAACACGAATCTGTATGGTATACTAGTTATGGGTAGTGCTGGTGACCACCCTCTTCGTCAACAGGTAAGCATGAACGAAGGGGGTGAAAATGAAAACAATGGCATGACATGCAAAATAACAGAGCACTACAAATTTGAGTTTTTACAATACGACTGGTTTGTCTGTAACAAAGAATATGTCGCTTCAATAACTTCCGAGGACTTATGATTTCCGCATGCCATCCATGAAAAAGGGCTCTTTTTTATCCTTCTCCTTGCTCCAGGGTCTCAATGTGACAAAACGCAACTGTCAAAACCTTCTCCTTCACAATTGTTTAATTCTGCTGTCACGGTGAAATTGGCGAGTCTATAAAACAATCACATGCAGGACCAACATAAGATGTTATCCGCTTGAAACTTGAAAGGTACTACACAATAGTAACGGGCCTGTCTCCAAATTAAGAAATAGCCTAGAAAGGAAAAAAGTGAAAGATGAATCAAAACTTCAAAAGCCAGTCCAGTATTGCCCGCCTTCAATAAATGGCCTGAGAGAGCCTCTAGAATCGGCTTCCCCCCTCCTCCAGGACCGGTGGTAGACTGACCTTGTACATCTGCAACTGGTTGTTTCAACAAGCCCCACTATATACATCCTATACCCAGGACTGGGACCCTATGGAGCCCACTGACTGGCCACGCTAAAGAGATATTCACCAAGTACTGTCAAAAAGACTTCCTGAAAAGGAAACAATAATTATATCGCCATTTATCCTGTTCATACAGCTCTTACATGCTCCTACTTGCATCCAGCCTAAGATATCACTCCACGGTTCCCCAGGTGACCGCTGTTATCAGTCCTGGAGGCTGCTATTGCTCCTTGGGGTTGCAACTGGCCTCCACCCTACATTACTCCATGAAGTCCATTCTCATTTAGAAATGAGCTCCTCGAGTACTAAAGCAGCATTTTGACAAGTTGAAGTTTCCTCCCCACCCCAATTCCCGGCCAAAAACAAAAAAAGTTAAAAAAAAACATTTGGACCATTTGTCGATTTATGAGAGTCATCCTTCAATCCTTGCACAGGGGCCATGCTAATCTTCTCGGATGTCCTTCCCAACATCCATTAACCACCAGTACATCTGAGCCTCTCTTATACGAGGCGGATTCCCCCTGCGCACCAATCTTGGCTGAAATGCCAGCGAGGCATTTTTTTTCCCCCTTTGACTGGCAGCGCCAGCCATATTGGGCCGGTTGCCCGAGCCTCCAAAATTTTCAGAGAGAGTCTCTCATGTCCGAGGAATGAGCCCTCGCAAGGCCTTTTGCCCGACACTATCGGGGCCCCCAGCAAGCATCGTGCCCGCCCTGAGTGAAGGCGGGCCTGCATCACAACTTGAGGCCTTATTTTTGTCATTTCTGCATTTTTGTGGCGCCAGACAGTTACCTCCCGCCAGATGGTTACAAGACCCACCCCAGTGTGACCAAGACATTGTAGGCCCTCTTGGCTCTTCCAGGCAACAACGTGGCTCCAGGCCTCTCGACCACTGGGAAAGCAGCGAGTGATGCTGGCGATGTCGCACAGTTGGGCTGCTTAACCGTTGCGGGCCCAGGCCACTATCTGCATTGGGCCTGGGCGCAGACATTTGGCCCGAAGCCAAGCTACTGGGAACGCGGCCTGCAGGCCCAGGCTGCTGAAGCAGGCCAACACTTAACAGGGAGGCTCATTGTCGTCTTGCGTGAATGGGCGGCCACGCTGCTGAAACAGAGCACTGGCATGCTGCCTGGGAACTGGCTGGAGTCGCACATGGGCGCTAAGAGTGGCGAGGGGCCCTGCTGGAGCAGCGGGCATGAGCGCCCATCTCCAGGCCTGCTTGTGGCAATGCTGGTGTGGGCGATGGTGGTCTTCGGGTAGGAGGCGCACAAGGTGGGAAGGAGAAGGTGGTGAGAGAGAGAGAGAGAGTAGAGACCCATACCTGGTGTATTCCGTAGTCTGCATGGCCGACTTGCTCACGTACATTGGTCTTCGGCTGGAAGTGATTCCTGGTTGCATGTCATAGTGTAGGCTAGCATAGGCTCTGAGTGGAGGTAGGCTGGGCGCTGAGCACCAAGAAGGGTGATACATTGTTGATGGTGACGAGAAGAAGCGGACATTGACATTTGAGTTGGCTTGTATGTCATGCATTCTGCTTTCTGCATGGGACACGACTATCTGGTATTCATTGTGATATTGCAATTTGGTTCTGTCTATCGCTCTTGCGGATTTTCGTTGCAATCTGGCATCAGAGCTGGTTCAGATATGGGCATACTGGCGCTGGTGTCCTGGTTACTTCATGCACTGACGAAGCTTCTCCACAGTAAGGATACTTCAACACTGGCTGGAATAGTCCATCAGGGCTGGAAGGCTGTTGGCACAGCGGTTGTATGAGGAACGATGAGAGAATGCTGACATGGCATTTGTGCTGAGGTGGCACTGCATTGTATTGTGGGTGGTGCATTGTATTGTGGGTGGTGCCGAGGCTATGACCAGTCAGTGAGAAATCTGTGGTTGGGGCCAATTATCTCCAGATACATTGTTCCTGACCATATCTTCCCTTCTCAATCTCCTCTTACCAAGAGGGAGAGAGTCCGTATTGAAAGTCCTCTCTTGGTTCAGGAGTCGAGAGCAGCTCCAATATGAGAGTCAATATGAGGCGCATCTGGCGGGAGAGGGCAGTGCCTCTGAACGGCCCTGGACAAAGCATGGGTCACAGTCACCATGCCAACCCATGGGACTAGAGCACGCATGCTTTACTGCTTTGTCCTTAGCTCTTACTGCACATAGAGGTGTTGTGGGGCTCGCCATCCCTCTGGAGGTTCGACAAGTACTGGACCGTCATTAAAGACACTCTGGCGGGGATACTGACTCGCACTGTACACGAGGATAGAAGTAGTACAGTCTCGGCTGGCCGGCTTTGCATGCACCTGGGCACAGGGGTGGGCCGTTGTGCACACAATAGACACAGCTGCGTTCCGATGCAGCCAGGGCAACAAATACAAGGGGGAAGGAAGGTTCCAATTGGTGCTTGATGAATATTATTAGTTCATTTCCATTTCGCATACATCTGAGTGAGTGACCCTTTTTTATTTTTGATTAGTTTAGGTGTGTACAGACTGCTGACACCTGACAGACACAATAGAGTAGAACTGTAGTTGTCTACCATTTCCGGGGGTACCTTTTGCTGCTGGTTGAGAACCAGTTAAAGGGAGAAGTATATCATTTGCGGACTCTGTGTATTTACCTATTTATTTACAACACGGTCAGACATCATGCTGTGGTAAGTCCCTGAGAGGACACCAGAGCAGAAGGGGAGGGAGCTACGATAGGAGGTTACATGAAGGGGAGCGAAGAGTATTCCTGTAGTGTTTCAGGTCCTGTTACCCAGAGACAGAGGAGATTGCGTGCAGAGAGAAGAGCTGAGCGTTTGCAGAGGGCTAGGGAAGCAGCAGCGGCAGCGGCGTATGCATTAGCAATGGATGCTGCAGCTGCAGCGGCTTCACAGGCTAGTCAGGCTCAGAGCCCACAGGTCTCAACGTCTTCTTCTTCCGGTCAGGGCCCATCCTCTAGTCAGATTGCAGTTCAGCCGGCCACCTCTACCCACTAGAGAGGATCTAGACACCCAATAGGTAAAGAATCTCCACCTTCAGTTAGAGAACAAACTCAGAAATGTAGCAACCACAAAAAGAAAAGCAAGAAATAGAGAAGCTAGACGGGAGAGTGGAGCCGAGACCATAAGGCCCCGTTTCAAAAAAAAAAAAAAAAAAAAAAAAGCTAGACTGGAGAGCAGAGAGGTGGACCAGGCGGCAATCGAGGGGTTAGATGAGTCTGTCATAGATGACTCTTGCAAAAGGTGCTCAAGGCAGGAATGCTGCGCATGGACGAGTCCATGGACAGTGGCTGGATAATATCCAGTCCACCCTGAGATCAGATACTTAGTGCCGTGCATGGAACGGGTAGACCAGTCCCTTCCACGATGGCCGGACCTAGTATCAGGCAGCAGCCAGTAGTCCCATCGCCGTCTACATTGCTGGCAATGCCAGGCACTTTTGTTCCTCAGTTTGGCATACCATTGTCAGGTTGTCAGTCAGCAGCAGGTACGCAGGCTGCAGCTTCTTCATCTTCACATCCAGCTGCTGCAGCTACAGGGCAGCAGCCGGTCCAGCCACCTGTGCAGCAACAGGTACCCGCTGGACGCAGCAACAGTGGGTCCCAAGGACCGTGTTGTCACCTCCTAAGCCCTTCACGGGGGATAAGAAGGGGGACCTCAACACATGGTCGAGTACAGTTCCAACGTGGATAAGGGCGAAGCGTGCACAACTCGGACAGGAAGTGATCGTGGCTGCCTTATACCTCAAGGGTTCAGCAGCAAGATAGACAGTTTGGTTGCACACGCTGACTTCGGTAGGAAGTTTGATGATGGGGCTTAGACCCAAACCTTGGACCCAAACCTTTGACTCGTTTCTGTAGTTGGTAGAACAGCGGTGGCACAACCCATAGCAGGCTCAACAAGCCACTGACGAGTTGGCCAGATTGGACTCGTTGTAGTCCCAGGGGCGCGGTATGACCGCTCACCATGTATTTGAGGTGTCTTCCTACAGATATCAAGAATATGCTGGTTAGCGAGGCAAGCATCAACGTGCACGACTTTTCTTCGTTTAGCAAGAAAGCCTTAGCTCTTAAGACTAGGGAGCATGCAGCAAGTTCCTTGTACAGGGCGCCTTGTACAGCTTTCTTCGTTTAGCAAGAAAGCCTTAAGACTAGGGAAGTCTGTAACGCTT